AAAAAAAAAAGAAAAATAACATCTGTTCCTTTTTTATAAAGGTTAGTAGCACACTTGGTAATATAAATATATTTATAGTCAGACAAAAATCTCAACTACAAAAAGAAATCACTAATTATTGTCAAAATAATAATTATGTAACTATAATGATGTGAGCAGTTTATCCATTCTTTATTAATGCTTACATGCGCAATCTTCATTCAATGGAAGTTTGAGGAAAGCAGGTGCCCTTTTTAAAAATGACACCGTTAGATTCACTTCTTCTCCAGCATTCCGAAGAACCTGAACCTAAAAAAGAATTTTAAAAAATACAATTATGATTATGTTTATCATTTTTACATGATTCCAAAGCTTTTAAATTATTGATTGTCTCTTCCACCTTCCATTTTTCCCTAGTAATCAGAAACATTTTATAAAAGATAGAGGGAGTGAATTATTTATCATTGTAGTAAAATCCATCAATATTCACCCTTCTGTCAACATTCTGTGATCCCATTTATACATCTACATCTACATCTTCCATTCATACTTACTGAGGTCTTCCTGAGCTTATGGTTTATATTAGGCAATATGAGGGATCATGAAGTCCACAGAAAGACAGATATAATGTTCAGACCACTGTATTTGTTAGTAAATATTAATACTTGTTGAACATCTATTATGCACCAATAAATGGGGTAAGATTTGGAGCATCAGTTATGCAATATAAAATAGGCGAAGATATAGGATAAAATGATTCTAAAAGAATAAAAACTGATTCTGCTGATATTGACCAGAGTGCTAATTCAGATAAATCGAATTAACCCAATTCATTTTAATCCTCTTGCAAAAAATAAATAGGCATTACATCTTCTACTTAATTTAATATTTTCTTTTCCTTTCCATGCAAACCTGTTATTATCAATGGCATCAGTTGTTATATAATATTGAAGTCTGTTATTATCAATAACTCTCAACATTTTTTAAATTATAGAATTAGTACGTCTAGTTCTTCCAGTTAAAATAAGTCAAGTTCTCCAAAAATCATATCTAAAAAATGTAAGCAATGTAAAAAATTTAAAATTATGCAAAAATTAAAAGAAGAACAAGAAGCTGGAGATTTATTTATAGCAAACACACCTGAAAAAGATATAAATATATCTGTTATTTTAAACCATCACAGAAATAAGGAGACATGAATAATCTGTCAGAAAACAGTTAATAAACATGGAAATATATGTTGTTAAATATAGAGAAAAATTGCTCAACCTCAGATTATTAAAGACTTGGCTACTTAAAACCAATTTAGAATGACTTCTGGTCCCGACAAGATGGCACAGGTGTCCAGACGCGGTGGCTCACACCTGTAACCCCAGTACTTTGGGAGGCTGAGGGGGCGGATCACCTGAGGTTAGGAGTTTGAGACCAGCCTGGCCAACATGATGAAACTCCACCTCTACTAAAAATAAAATAAAAGGTGGTGGGCATCTGCAATCTCAGCTACTTGATAGGCTGAGGCAGGAGAATCACTTGAACCTGGGAGGCGGAGGTTGCAGTCAGCCGAGACTGTGGCATTGCACTCCAGCCTTGGGATCAAGAGCAAAAATCCATCTCAAAAACAAACAAACAAACAAACAAACAAAAACGGCACAGGCTCATCTCTCTCTACTTCTCCCCAAGAAGTGCAACTGTAAACACTGAAGAAAATGCAAGAGACAAACAAATAAGAACTCTGAAAGGCAGAAGGAGGAAGACCTGATTAGAGGTCTCAGGCCAGCACTGAACAGGGCATACCTTACCTGCTCCACTAAACAGAGGAACACCCACCAGGCCGGGCATTTTCTCAGTCCTGACATTAAAACAGAAAGCACTCTAGATAGGCTCATGCCACCTCTGGTTTGTAAAGGAGCCCCACTAATAACCAGGCAAGGCCACAAGCATCAATGAGTGATGACAATGGGAGGCCAGTTGAAGGCCGGCCCTCTCCCTGGGCCTGAGAATCCTCTGCCCCACTCAGAGGTACTGTGTGACTGGGAACACTGGCAGGAGGTCCTCCTGATAAGTGCCTGGGAGGGGGGCCACTTTGTCAAGGTCCTGAGACTACCCTCCCCTTGCCTAGGTGGTACACCATCCTAGTGGTGACGACCAGCAAAGATTGACCTGCTCCGAGTTCCCCATTATCCTGCCTCTTCCACAGCAGGAAGGAAGCCTCCATAACCAGCACTGACCTGGGAAAGCTTTTTCCATCCCTTCCAACAACAGCAGCAGGGAACAGTGGGTGCCCAGTGACATGAGATAAATGAATCAGAACAAAGCAGCACCAAATGACTCTAAAACATAGATCATAAATGGAACCATGGCCTATGAACCCATGAGCTAAACAGTAAATTTCTGTTTAAAAAAGAAATCTCAAGTAAGAGCCAGAGTCACCTAAGATAATAAGCAAAATGACCAGGATATAGTAAAAATTATATGTCATACTGAGAACCAGAAAAAATCACAAATAAGATAAATCACATATTGGAACTCTCTCACAAGGATTTTGAAGCAATTTGAACAGAAATGTTGCCATAAGAAATTACAAGTTTTTTTGATCCAAGTTAAAAATTATAAAATCTCAGCAAAGAAATAAGCTATAAGTTATAATATCCAAATAGATATTATACAAATATTTTTACAATATACATTTACCAAATTTATATTGTAAGAATTATAATAACGTAAATTTTAAAAAAATTGGGAGTAGTTTAGTAACAAAGTGGGAATGAGAAAGAATAGAATTAACAAAGATGAGGACAGAATAATAGAATTCACCCAATCTGAACAATAGAGAGTATATAGCCAAAAAAAAAAAAAAAAAATCCTCAGTAACCTGCAGGATAGTAACTAAATATATAAAATGCATATCATATATCATATGAGTCACAGAGGAGAGGAGAAAGAAGAGGAGCTGAAAGGGTATTTAAACCTATAATAACCGAAAAATTCTCAAATTGAATGACAGACATGAGCCCACAGATTTAAGAAATTTAGCCACCCTCAAAAGAATCCTGCCAAATAATTCTACACTAAGACACATCATAATTAAAATTCTACAAACTAAAGATAAAAAAGAACAAACTTTAAAACTTTTAAAATGAGCCAAATAAAAGACTTATGTAAACATTATTAAATGTTTTAACAAATCAAACAATGCAACATCATTGAAAATTAGGTAATACAACATGATCAACTGGAGTTTAATCCAGGAATACAAGGTTGGTTTAACATTAGAAAATCAATCAGTATAATTAAGCACATAAAAAACTGAGTTGAAATATCAAAAAATATTTGGCAATATTCAACATTTATATCTGTTGAGCACCTTTAACCAAAGTAATGGTAGAACAGAACTTCCTCGAACTTACAGAGAGAATCTCTGAAATTATTATTAAATTATAAAAGACTAAAGTTGAAACTGACAGAGAGAACAGAGAGAAGCTATAAAAAAACCTGCAGGTAATATCCTTTAGTCTTTTATCATTTAATATCATTATCATTTAATATCATTATTTAGCCTTATTTAATATCATTATTAAATATAAAAAAAAGTGTCTACACTATCTGCTTCTAGTCAACATTTCTATTAAGGTACTAGGCAGGGCAATATAGAGAAAAAAAAAGTAGGTATCTATATTTGAAAAGAAGGAGGAAAAGCATCTTTATCTGGAGATGACATGATGGCTAACAAAAAAGTCCGCTAGAATCTACCAATAAAATAAAAATGCTACTGGAACTAATCATAACTAATATTTTTAGCAGAGTTTCAGAAAATAAGATAAATACAAAATAATTATATTTCTTTATAAACAATCAGAATTTCTAATTTAAAAAAAACCCATTCATAAAATCACCAAAACTACAAAATATTTATGTATCAATCTAATAAAAGTAATAAAAGCCCTGGCTGGGTGCAGTGGTTTATGCCTGTAAGCCCCACACTTTGGGAGCCTGAGGGGGGCAGATCACCTGATATCTGGAGTTGGAGACTAACATGACCAACATGGAGAAATCCCATCTCTACTAAAAATACAAAATTAGCCAGGAATGGTGGTGCATGCCTATAATCCCAGCTACTCATGAAGCTGAGGCAGGAGAATCGCTTGAACCCAGGAGGCGGAAGTTGCAGTGAACCAAGATTACACCATTGCACTCCAGCCTGGGCAACAAGAGCGAAACCCTGTATCCTAAATAAATAAATAAATAAATACATACATACATACATACATACGTACATACATACATACATAAAATCCCTGTAGGCAAAACATTGTTATTAGGAATTTTTAAACATTTAAATATATATGTCACAAAACTCAATATTTATCTACCCTAATTGACATATGGGAATCCCAGCAAACTTTTCTATAAAAATTGACAAACTGTTATTAAAATTCATGTGGAAATTTGAAAAATCCAGAATAACCAAACCACCTTTGGAAAATAAAAGCAAAGCTATTAAACCAATTTTGTTTGATTTTAACAGATATAAAGAAACTATAATCATCAAGACATTGTGTTATTTAAAAAATAATAATAAATAAAATAATAATATGTGTCCAAAAATAAATGCAAACAAAAATAAACAACTATTTTTCAGCAATGTTGCAAAGGAGTAGAGAAGGTAAAATCTTTTTAGCAAATTGTGCTGGGACAATTTCAAATCCTCATTAGAAAAGATAAAGAGCTTTAATCTATACCTTACATGACACTGACACTAATACTACATCAAAGTGACTCAATTACCTGAATGCAAGTTCTAAGCTTATGAAACTTCTAGAAATAAACTTTGGAGAAAACCGTTGTGGCATTGAGGTAGGACTTTTTCTTTTGCAGTCATGATTCCAAAAGTGCAGCCCATAAAAGCACAAATTGTTAAGTTGGAAGTAATCAAAATTTAACCATTTTTTCTATGGGATATGCTTTTAAGAAAGTCACAAGCTTGGAGAAAATATTTGCAAATCTTTATCTGATAAATAATATATGCTTGGAATATATTTTAAAACACTCAAAGCTCGATAATAATACAAAAGACCCAATAAAACATAAGAAAAAAATTTAGGCAGATATATCCTTGAACTTATATTGATGGCAAATTAGTGCATGAAAATATGCTCAACATGATAGCAATTAGGGTAATGTGAATTAAAACTATAATGAGATACCACTCTAAATCTTCTGGAATGCCCAAATTAGATATGCCTCAGATGCTAAGTGTGTGTAAGGTTGTGGAGGAACTGGAAGTCTCAGAGAATAAGAATAAAATAAAG